TAATAGGACATTTTCTGTTCCTCATATGACAGATTCATTATCGTTCCTGTAATAGTTGTAACTTTCTGCATATTTTTTGTTTTAACAGCTGGGTGTCACTAGCACACTCAGTGCTGGGTTTAATAGCACTATTAGCTGTATCCAGTGGTGCAGTTGGGGTTGTGACCATGTTTTAGGATAGCTTTGAATGAAATGTAGCTGCAAGCAATTGTATTTTATCCTCAACAATTCATAAATGATGATTTGTGGCATCAATATGAGACTGTGAACAACACCCACCCACAGGAGAGCAACAATTTAACATAATATTAATGTAATAAATGCTCCCTTTTTTCTTAAGTGGTAATGTCTTTTAAAAATTAATGCATGAAAAAAAGAATCACAGCTGTGCTTTTGGAGATACAGTCATGCTAACATTTGGCATCAGGTGTGCATGTGTTCTACATTTGAGCTTAGGGAATTGTGCAGGTGATTGCATATTTTGCACAGATGGCTAAAAAAAAGTGAAAGCACCCTTTGTCTCTAATCTGTGAAGATACATTTGAGAAAATATTAAATGTATTGCTTTATAATGATAGTGAATAAACTGGAAGCATGATCATGACTAGCCATTTTCCCTTCATAGACATAAATACTAGGGGTGCAACGATACACAAAATTCACGGTTCGGTTCGATACTTTGGTGTCACAGTTCGATATTTTTTCGATACAAAAAAAATGTTCATGCCTTTTTAATTTGTCATTTATTAAAATTATAAATATATATTTTAACTCAAAAGTACAGTTTTTAAATTTAATGTTGCTGAAACAAAAGTAATTAAAAAAATAAATATATCTCAGGGCTCTCAAAATTTCAAAATCCCTGGTAGCCCTTCGGGCAGGGACTCTTCAGTTTTTGGTAGCCCAAAATAAATGTAAGTAGCCCGAATAAAAAAGAGAGCAATTTTTTGATTGATGTTTTGTTTCCTTTACAATATTATACATTAAAGTATAATATTGTAAAGGAAACAAAACATTAATCAAAAAATTGTTGAAAAACAAATTACAACATTGTATAAAAATTACAATCATCAACTCAAATACTTGGTTCTAATTGAACAGAAATTTCTATGAACTTGTAAGAACTGTGTAGGACATGAATCAGTCTGTGTCAGATCCTGAATTTGAAATTTCCACTGAAGTCACGGGTAAGAGACAAGTGGAACCAAGATCGAGGCCATTTGCTTTTTGAAGTTTGCAAAGACTGCTAAATTTTGCCAGTGGTAGTTCACTCTTTGCAACATAGTACGCTGTTCTAAACAGATTTTTCAGGTTTATTTTTAGTATGTTATTTGCAATTGGTGTTTGTTCTGGGAAAGATATTGCAGACTGAGCAATAATGCATTTCTTGCATTTCTCATGGGTTCTAATGGGGGCCTTTCTTAAAATGACTGGTCCCAGTAACAAAGGCGCTTGTCGACTCAGAAATCGAGAGAAAACCAACAACACACCCGGCAGAACATTATGTTATTTACACGGGTGCACATAAGTGGTCCGCATGTGCGCATTCGCTGTCAAAATAAAAGACGCGCACCAGATAAGAAGTTGCAACGCGCGTTTGCGTCCATATAAAAAGCACTGTTTTTGTCCGCTAGAGTGGGATTTTCACGGCACATTCCGCACCACATCTCTGTGCGTTCATCATTTGTTTGAAGCCAGCTCACCTCCTGCAACCACTTTTCCGAGAATACGGCTTCTTTTGTGGTTCGGACTCCTTCTGACATTTGTTTGGAGGTGGAGGAACACCAAAGTAATTGCTTAAAGGAGCTTCTTCGACATCTTTAAGAGTTCTAAACAAATGTCTGTCCTCCTCCAGAAAATCTTATGTAGCAAACACGCGTTGCAACTTCATATCTTGTGCGCGTTTTTTTTTTATTTTGACAGCGAATGCGCACCTGCGGACCACTTATGTGCAGCCCCGGTTATTTAGCTCGTCATATTGCAGCCACAGAAATTCTTTTGTCCATGAAACCATAAAGCTGCACTTTCTTTTTGCCTTATAGTCTGATTTGTCATAACTTTTCCGTTTTGTGGTAAGCTTTTCTTTGGCTGTCACTTCTTCACCCTGACCTGTCTTATTTGGCTCAGCAGAACTAAAATATATATCCTGCTGCTTTTACACACACACACACATAAGCTCAGCGATTCTCTGCGCGATCAACCTCTCACATGTTTAAGCTTGCTGCGGGAGATTTCACTTGTCATGTTTGCATAGTAAGCTAACGATTGATAAGACGATGTCAGAGGAATTGGTGCGCAAATTATCATCACTCACAGATCAGTGCTGTCGCTCTCTATACACAGTTCGCACGATTGCAAAGTGAAAGCAAAAAACAAGCGCAAATTCAAACGCGATTTCAATATGTCACATATTGACAGTGGCTCACCGATGCCAATGACATAATTACCCAGCTACATTTCCGAAAGAATGCAAAAGCATTGACATATATTTTTCCTTCCTACAATAGCCCGACGGGCAGGGCAGAGATAGATTTTGGTAGCCCGACTGGAAAAATCGCTAGCCCCGGGACGTCGGGCTAGCGATTTTGCGAGCCCTGTATCTGATTGAGGAATCACTCATCTTTGGAAAAGAGAGTTTATTACAGAGAAATGGCTCTTTCCAAAATAAAAGCTATACTATACGCTTCTTCTGGGCTATATTCTCAGCAGCATATTGTAGCGGGTCAGGGCTGTTCGGGGTTCTGTTTGTACAGTTATGTTTTGTTTATGTTGCCATAGTGACGGGTGACGCCCTCTCGCTGCGACGGTGTGTCCTTCCGGGGTAAGAGGGCGCCCTGTGTGTTGTTGTTGTTGCTGTGCGGTTGCCGCGCTGAGCAGTTAGCTAGCGGCAGTCAGAAGGAAAAGTTGATAAAATAAATTACAAATGTTGTATTGTTCGATACATATGCGTACCGAACCGAAAGCACTGTATTGAACGGTTCAATATCGATACGAATATCGTTGCACCCGTAATAAATACATGCAGAGGGGGAAAAAAAAAGAAAAGTTTTCCACGAAGGATATCACTAATTACAGCTGGCTCCTGTGCTGTGATCTGTAAAATTGATTTCTGCTACTAATTTGCAAAGCTATTAATGATTTAGCAGTTACCTGCTGCTCTTTTTATACACCAGCAAGGTAACTCATCTTGTATCGGAGGATTAAATACACAAGGAAGAAGCAAGGAAACATTTGTTTTAATATGTTTAATATGTACCTTCAGTTTTATATTTTATGCGGTTTTCTTCTCAGTTGTTTTGTCATTTTTATTTTTTAATAATGTTTATTTAAATCTAGAGAAAGTATATGAGAAGGTGACAGAAAAAAAAAAGAGTGTGGTAGTGCACGAGGAAGGTAGGAAAGGAAGAGAAAGGCATGAGGATGGTGCAGAACATGAGGACAGTGAGACATTGCTGCAGCTGGAGTGAATGAGAGGTTTGAGGGCTGTGAGCTCCTTGTTTGCAGTGGTGATGGACAGCTTGACAGATGAGTTCAGGCAGGAGTCTCGGTGGACCATGATGTTTGGATATGACATTGCGATCTGTAGCAAGAACAGGAAGCAGGTGGAAGAGAGTCTGGACTGGTGGAGGTATATGTCGGAGAGAAGAGGAATGAACGTGAGTACGGGAGGGGGGAGATGTAGAGAAGCTGTTGATCTCATGGTACCTGGATGCTGGACCCAGGGCTTTGAGTTTTGGGAGTTCATGATTCCTTTTTTTCCTGACAGTGCTTCTTGTTTGAGTTTTTGCTTCTTTTTAAGTCACCAGTGTTTTTTTAGATTCTTTGTTTTTCATTTATTGTACCTCTCCAGTGACCCTTGCATGTACTGTATTTAGCCTGTCATTTGAGTCATGCATTCTCTGTGTTAGTTACTTAGTTTTAGTTACAGATGACTCTGAGGCTTTTACTTGTGTTTCCGTTCTGTTATGGCACATCTCTGTTTGTCTTTTTGTCTTTCAGTGTTGTGTTCCTGTTGTTTTCCTGATGGGGCAGGGATAGCTCTGTAAGTAAAGTCATTACCCCATGATTGGAAGGTCGGGTGTTCAAATCCACTGGACGGCTACCCTGAGAGCCCCCTGAGGTAGCGTCCCTACACACTGGGTGCTGGATTGGTTGCTGCTCACTGCTTCAAGGTTCTGTATTTGTCACATGCATAGTTATACAAGTATAACACACAGTGAAATGTAGCCTGACACGCTCCTCGACATGTGCAAAAATTGGGGGGGGTAGAGGAAGAACATTATATATATATAGTATATACATGGGTGAATGTGCAGTAGTAGCAGCAAGCAGGTGAATTCTGTACATTAATATGAATAGACATCTGACTATTTTACAGGATAGACAATATAAACATATTTAAAATTAAAGGAATTGAAATGTACATTGTGCCTTGGTTTAGTGTCTGGAAGAGTCCTGTCTCAGTCAATTATAGATGATGTGAGAGGGCGGGTGTGTGTGTTTAGGGCACGGATGGCTTGGGGATAGAAGCTCCTCTTGAGTCTCTCTGTCCTTGCCCGGAAGATGCGGAACCTTCTACCAGATTGCAGAAGTTGGAACAGTTTGTTGCCAGGATGGGACGGGTCCTTCAGTATCTGCGCTGCTCTAGTCCGGCATCTCCTGGTGTAGGTGTCCTGAAGCGGGGGGAGAGCAATCCTGCAGCAGCGTTCTGCTGTACGGATCACTCTCTGGAGAGCTTTTTGGTCCTTCACACAGCTGTTCCCAACCACGATGTCATGTTCTGTGTGAGGATGCTCTCCACAGCGCCTGTATAGAAAATCCTGAGGATCTTTGGAGAGACCCTGAACTTCCTCAGTTGTCGTAGGTGATACAGGCGCTGCCTAGCCTTTTTGGTCTGGACCTGAATGTGGGCAGCCCATGTCAGGTCTGAGGAGATGTGGACACCAAGATACTTGAAGGACTGCACCCTCTCCACTGGAGCTCCATTGATGATAATGGGCTTGTGCTGCCCCTTTAAGGCAGGCATGATCATTTGGGTGTGTGTTTTTTGTACCAGCAGACTTGCCGTAGTACCTCACCAGTGAAAAACAGTCCTTTAGACAAACTGTCGTCTGTTCCACTTTTTGTTCACTTTTTCTTGCTGAGCCTGAGAGAGCACATGCCTGTAAGTAGTTGCTATCTGTTTTGTAAGCTTTCCCGCGATAGTTTTGTGTAGCAGTTTAGAGGTTTGTGTGGAAAACTTTCTTTTGTGAGGAAAAACGGCCGCGATGCTAACACGTTAGCCCGTCTATGGGATTTCCCATGTAATGTTAGCATTAAGCTAATCGCTAAATGCGTGAGCCTGATAACCAGTGAAAGGGTTTGGATAAGTTTGTGTTTATGTGTTATATACATTGTAGTGCATGGCTTAATGTTTGATGTTGTAAAGAAAATGCAATTACAGCAGAAATGTAATATTTTATTTTTGTTTCTGTACCAGTTTTACAGTGCTTCAACAGTAAACATCTAAAACGTATCCGCTGACTCCTGGATGTTTATTGTGGACCTGTTAGCTATCTGCCAAGCTAGAAACCAGCTTTACACCCTAGTGAGGGCAGAATAGGGCTTGTAGTCTCTGTGCTGACTCCTTCTGAAGTCCACCACCAGCTCCTTGGTCTTGCGACGTTCAGCTGGAGGTGGTTGTCCTGGCACCACGATGCCAGATTCTTCACTTCATCCATGTAGGCCGCCTCATCGTTGTTGGAGATGGCACCCAACACCACTGTGTCGTCAGCAAACTTCACAATGGTGTTGGAGCCATGGGTGGCCACACAGTCTGAAGTGTAGAGGGAGTAGAGCAGTGGCGAGAGGACACATCCCTGAGGTGCTCCTGTGTTGATGGTGATGCTGTTGGAGAAGCACCTGCCCACCCTCACCACCTGAGTTCTGCCAGTGAGGAAGTCCAACACCCATGCACACAGACGGCTGTTAAGTCCCAGATCCCTGAGCTTTGTGAACAGTCTGCAGGGCACTATTGTGTTAAACGCTGAACTGTAATCAACAAACAGCATTCGCACATAGTTACCCTGTTTTTTGTCCACGTGGCTGACGATGGCATCCTCTGTGGATCTGTTGGATCTGTAGGCGAACTGCAGCGGATCTGTGGTGTCTGGGATGGAGGAGGAGATGATGTTCTTCAGCAGCCTCTCAAACACCTTCATTACTACCGAGGTCAGTGCAACTGGCCGGTAATCGTTCAGGGATGAGGGTTTGCTGTTCTTGGGCACAGGGATGATGGTGGATCTTTTGAAGCATGTGGGGACCACAGACTTCGCCAGGGACTCGTTGAAGATGTAAGTGAACACACCTGCTAGCTGGTCAGCACAGCAGACGGCCGGTGATGCCGTCTGGCCCCGCCGCTTTCCTTGTGTTCACTCTCCTCAGTGCCGCTCGGACGTCATGCTCCACGATGCTGGTCACCGGTCTCTCGCTGATGACGTCACTGTCCTCGGTAGTCAGGCGGTAGATAGCATTAGTCCTTGTTTTGAAGCGAGCTCAGCACATCATGTAATTCGGACAAAGCCATACCTGTGTCCGCTTGGGGTGGGATGTAGACCACCGTGGCGATGACCGAGGTGAACTCATGGGGCAGATAGAAAGGGCGGCACTTAATGCTCAGGAACTCCAGATGTGGCGAGCAGCCGCTGGAGAGAGTAGAAATGCTCCTGGCATCACACCACTTTCTGTTTACCATGAAACACACTCCTCCACCTTTGGTGAATGGGTTAAATGCAGAGAGTAATTTCCCTACAGGGGTTTAATAAAGTATACATTAGCTATTTCTTGTTTAAGTTTGCTAGCTGCGTCATCTTCTGTAGTTGTCTTGATTGTTGACAGCTGCTGACTTCTTCCCTCACTGCCTCAGTCTTCCTTTGTCCTTTCCCATGTTAGCTGTGTGTTTCCAAGCCATGTATTCCTGGGAAATTTTCTTTTCTCCTTGTGTATTCTTGTTAGAAAGCCCACTGTTTACATGTTGTTCACTTGGCTAAAGTGCTGTGGTTCGTTTATTGATAGTATTTCACCATAGAAATTGATGTGTCCTAGATCACTGAACTCATGTCAACCTGTGTTTTCTTGGTTTATTGCTGTGTGTGAATGCCAGAAGAAAACCACTTTGTGAATAAACACAGAGTGGAGCTGATCCAGAGAGTGAGCAACTTTGGGCCGATTCTGGATGAACTCCTGAAAGAAAAAGTTATCCTGCAGGAAAGTTGTGACAGAATCAGAGCTCTGCAGATCTCTCAGGAAAAGATGAGGGAACTCTACAACAAAAGATGTCTTCTACGAAATCCTTCAGACACACGAGAGACAACTTGTTAATGACCTCTGCTGAAAGACTTTTGTGGTGAAATCAGTTTAGTGTTCTAAAGTTAAAGTATTTACAAAAGGGAAATGCTTACATTATGACTCTGTGGGTGTCTGATATAAACATAAGACAAATATGACTTTTTTAAAAATGCTTAAATATGAAAGCTGACAGATTTATAATGCTGGTTATTATTTGTACCTGGTGACATCACACAGCTGAATAAATCAACCAAACTTGGAATCTGTCTTTGGATTTTAGCCTTTGTGACTCTGCATTAAATGTATACTTTATGTTTTGATTGTTATATTATGATGTTTATGGAAGATGAAATGCTAAAAAAGAGAAACAATTACTGTCAGTCAAACAGCAGGAGAAAAGTCCAGCATTTTGGAAAATCCTGCACCCATCTCGGCGTTCCCCCGATTTTCCATCCATCATAATTACTCTGCCCAGTAGAAGCCACCCACAAAGAAATGTAGAGATTAGTTATATTAAGCAACATGTCTAGCATGCATACAAATGAATAGTTTTCTACATTTGTATTACTGCTCACAGAAAATAAATAATTCATGTAAACGTACTTATTCACAATTTATCAGTGGAAATGGATAAATCTCTTCATGTCACTGCTAGTAAAATAGGTCTCATGAGTACACTATTTCTATGTGTAAATTAATACAATATTTTAATTTTAATAAAATGTGTTTCATTATGAAACCTAATAATACAATTAGTGAAGTCTTTTGTATTAAACTAGTTCCACATGTCAAGTTCCTCATAAAAATGGAGGCCAGACGATTTGATATACTATTTTATGGTATGATTAAATCTATTAAAAACAGTTTCTCACTGGAACAACACAACAGTACTAGTTGACCCACCACCGAACGTGCCATGACTGGCAAGCCTCTACAACTATATTCAGTTCAATTTTATTTGGCACAAAATGTGTCATCTCAAAGCACTTTATGTAATAAGGCCAAAAGGATGTTGTGGAGAGAAACTCAGCGATTCCCTGTTGAGCAGGAACTTGGTGAAAGTGAGGAGGAAAGTTCTTATTTAGAAAGCAGAAACCTCTGACTGATCCAGACTCTGGGGGAGGATGCCTGTCTGCTACAAACGATTGGGGTGAGAGGAGGGCAGAGAGAGAGAAAAGATGACCACAGAGGGAAAAAGATCACACACACACATACACACCAACCTGCCGTGTGTGTGTGTGTGTGTGTGTGTGTGTGTGTGTGTGTGTGTGTGTGTGTGTGTGTGTGTGGGGCCACCAACCTGAGATCAGAAACATACTGCCTCAGAGCCAGAGACACCTGCAGAGAGGTAGGGGAGTGAAATATCACACTTTAAGCATAACATAGAGGGTGTCTGCGAGCTGCATCCACAGAAGAGCCTGACAGCTGAAGGCTCTGCCTCCCAATGCACTTGTGGAAACTTTAGGAACAACAAGTACACCTGTTCCAGTTTTAACTGGAAAAAGAACAGGTGGACTCAGCACACAGACGGTGTCACGAGTTATAAAGATTGTACAGCGTTACTGTCAGGTGAGAATTTAGAGGGAAGGGAAAATGACTGATTACTCTCCAGGTAAGAGCCCCTATGCCTGCAGATGGGGAGTCTGCAGGCAGAAAAGGCTTTCAGGTAGGAGTCCTTTTCCCATTTTCTTTCCATGAGATCACTAAAAAGCGTCTGGTAAGCTATCACAGGTTAAGAAGTGTTTTTCTGGGAAGCAGTACAAAACTGCCTGACACAAACAGGAAGGAACTGGGGAAGAAAATATTTAAATTGCTGGATTTAAGCAACACATACAGAAAACACAAGAACCTCGTTATCACTTTTGGAGATTTACCTGGATGATTGCGAATGCATCAAGACGTCACTGGATTAGGTTTGAGGAGGCATAAGGAGAACATGAACTCTCCGCACAGAAAGGCCTGAGGCAGGATTTGAACCCAGGACCTCCTTGCTGTGCCTTGGAACAGTGCTAACCACCAAGCTGCCGGTCAATAACCAAAGGGCGGACTGAAGCCCAGAGACAGCTGCTGCTCATGTGGCCCTCCAGCAGCATTCACCCTACACAGAGAGAGCCTGCAAGAGAGTGAGGGACTGGGGGAGTGAGAGAGAGGAGGAGAGAGAAAGACAGTGCCTGTCGGGGCCGTGACAAACACACAAGTTCAATTACAACGTTTGGACATTTGATGAGCTGTGTCACTTTGTCTTGTTTGTGTGTTGATTTTATTTGAGCCCGAGTTCATATGACCTCATTATGTGGCTCAGAGCTTTATCATTTGACTTAAAAAAATATTTTTCACAGCTTTAAAACTTGCCTGTGGCTTCTTGTTGTTTTCCTGCTTAGCTGCAGGGAGGTTTCAGTGGTGCAACGCTGCATAGCTTCTTTTTCCAGTCCTGGCCACAAATCGAATTACTTTCTGTTGTATGTTGTAGAGGAAATGCAAAGTGCTTAAATTACCAGCAATTTACCACAGTGCTTTGTAATTTTCAACTTTTGCTTCAATCTCATTCACTCAGCCTCTTATTTGATGTATGGGTCAGAAACCCTCCACTGTAGCTTGCTGAATTAAATTAAGATTTCTCAGGATAGATGCCCGCTTTTTGCATCTACATTTTGATGACAAACGTGGGCAGCAGTGACCTTTAAACAAAAATTAAATACAGCACATTGCTTAATTTAAATAGAAATGCTTTTTGAAGAGCTCATGAGCAAAATACGCAGGTTTTCAAATGAAAAGAAGAAAGACTGAATAAACAAACAGCCAGCCGCCGTACGCCTGAGCCAAACAAACTTGAAGAAATGAAGCTCAGAAGGCAGCACCGCTTAATAATTAACGTTGCCATATACGTTTAAGGTTACATGTGTGCTTTTTGGTGGTGGCTTGTCAAAAAAAAAAAAAAACGAACGAGGAATTAACTTGGTAAATCACCGTTGATGCTGAGCTGCGAGGCTGTTTTTCCAATCTGCACCTAATAACACAGGGCTGGACCAGCTCTGATTTGACTTTGCGTTTTATAATAGAAGCACTGAGGCTAATGCTGCTGTGCATTAGGCCAAAAGAATAAGTGACCAGCCTGAAAAGCTTTTGTGTTGCCACATTATTAATATGGTTTCATCAACAGCTCCGCTGACGCATTGAAGCTGGGGGGGCATTATCAGGGATAACGAAACGTGTTAATAAGAGTCTGCGGTATTGTGCTGCTGATAATTCTAATGTTCCCATTTCATTTGATGAGTT